TGGTTTGGGTTTAAATTGCTCTCTATCTCCATTAAGATGATTGTATTAAGATCATACACAGACATCTACTTGTGACTTATGAAATTGGTAGAAAATATCTAGATAACTGACTTTTTGGCTGCTGTTACTAAACAGCTTTACGAAGGTCTGCAACCTCACATTTGAGGTCAGGAGCCGCTGTCTTGTGGTTAGACTTTTGTCCTGCAAAGGGAGTTCATGTTTTAGTCATGGATTGCTGCGAGGCCTTGTGTCTATTTGTTCTCACAGACTAATATGGGGATCATAAATCTGGAAGGACCACCACGAACTGCTTCAGAGCAAGGCTTTAGTTTCCTTATGGTGGTCTTTCTGGTTGATGATGAGTTCTGCTAAAATTTGATGACTAGATACTGCATCATATCACTGGATGACTTAATCTTCTCTTATTGTTTAGCCAAAATGCTAGCGTTTCTCTGACAGAGTGGCTTTCTGAATCTGCCCTGTTATGTCATCCTAGGAATCCATTGCTAGTTGGGTTTTTTCCTCCAATTTCTCTACCATTTTGCTGCTCCTTCATGTCTCTAAAAATAACTACAATCAGTTGCAGTGGCTTACACCTGTAGTCCCAGCACTTTGGGTGGCTGAAGCAGGCAGATCACCTGAGGTCAGGACTTCGAGACCAGCCTGGCCAACATGGTGAAACCTCATCTCTACTAATACAGAAGTTAGTCGGGCTTGGTGGCACATGCCTCTAAAATCCCAGCTACTCAGGAGGCTGAGGAAGGAGAATCGCTTGCACCTGGGAGGCAGGGGAGGCGGAGGTTGCAGTGAGCTGAGATCGTGCCATTGCACTCCAGCCTGGGGGACAAGAGCGAGACTTCATCTCAGAAACCAAAACAAAGAATCTATAGATGGTAAAGACATTTCTGAACTCAGAAGACAGACAGCACTATCAAGCATTCCTTGAACTAAGTGGAATGAATTCTCATGCTTTGAGAAATGTGAATGCGTGTTCTTTTGATATGTTCAGGGATATTGAGGGATGAATTGTTCTTTTTAGATTATGGTATATCTCTTTCTCATTTTAGTGACAAGATTACTGAAGAAACATTTCTGTAAAACGTTTTGACCACCAATACTACAAATATATCTGAATCTTTTGGTTCCAGAATAGTCAAATTTACAGTCTCTGAAGCATCAAGGAGGAATAAACTCCCCTTACATTGAAGCAAAAATAGGAACAGTAGACAATTTTCCTTCTTAGTGCTCAAAGATGGAGATGTGAGTAATAGACCTAAAAGGTGAGTAAACTTTCAAAGGAAGAAAAAGAAAAGCAATTTCTGTGTTGGTCTGTGCTGAAACTTCAATTAATCACACCTTGGTTGAGGAGAAAAAAAAAATACATGAGCAAATATTAACTCCTGTCAAGCTTGATAAGAGTCAGCTACTAGGTGGCAGATTGTGATAGCCACAGCTTTGAGTCATGGGTCAAGAGACTATTTAAATATAAAATTCCATTTACAGTGGCTTTTGCAACAGCTTGTTGGAAATAAGTATTAATCTGGCAGATAGTAAGTTTATCTTGACCTATATCTATTAGTTTCACTTAAATGCATTATGGATTTTACACGTTACTATAGTGTTAGCTTACAATCATCCTTTAAAAATATACTTTGAGAAACTGAAATAGTCAAGAATGAGACAAATGAAAGTGACTTAAAATAATTACTTTTGAATCAGAACATGAGCCAGAGCATTTCGTTTCATGTAAATAATCAGACTCCACTTCACAAGGTATTCAAAGGGGAGGCAAAACAAATTATTGCCTCAAATGCCTATGATAGGAGTAAAACCATTTTCAACTCCCAGATCTTATTCTCATTGTAGATCCTAGAAGAGAGTAAAAAAGCTAAAATAGGAGATGATTTTAGCCGCCTCCCTTATTTTTATACAACCAAGACTGTTTAAAAAAGATGAGATTGCTTGTGAGTGTGTTGTGTGTACATGAGTGTTCATATGTGAGTGAGCATGGCATGGATGGGGATGTGAGCAGGGAGCAGGCCCCACTGAAGAGCGGAACACTACACTGCTCGGCACAAACGAGCAATTCACCCATTTCAATGAAGCCAATATTGAGAACCAAATGTGACATGTTCAAATGTGAGCCTGATATTGTTCCATAGGATACTGGGCATTGCACGTAGGCAGAGAAAGTATCTGCATTATGAAAAAATTTGTTATCAGTTACTTTAAGTCAGTTCCAGTCATCTAAAA